TAAACCTACCCTATTCCCTAATCAGAAGGGCGGTTTTAGGAGTATATTACATCATAAATTCATTACGAAAACAGGATGCTTGATACAGATACAGTCTAGCTTCTATATTCGGGTTTGTATCTTAACTCATGGGAGTCAAAAGCTGATAAAACTTGAGATAATTGTTTAAAAACACTTGCTCTTAAATTGGTATGGTATAATAAGGTCAAATTCAGCTTCAATCACCGCAAATGGAAAGGGAAATACATTTCTTATCAAAGTATTTGCGATAGTAGAATGGGAAAATGTTTTGATAAACTAAAATATGTCATGGTTACGAAAACTAACATAAAAAACATCAAGCTCAGTAGAATCGTAAAAAACATGGTAGTAAAACTTGGAAATTGAAACTGACAATAATCATGAAAAACTTAAGAGATCTTCATAAAATGGTAATTCTATTGAGACATCATTTTAAATTAGCATAAAGGGTATCCAGCAGGACTAGGAATCCTAGTCTATAAGATTATATCGATCTAAGACGATTCGTTTATCATCTAGAATCGATATAACCCCACGACAAAATTTCGTGTCGCGCACCCTATTACGGCTGGGGTGATCTAGTAAGGGAGCTCATGACCAAAAAGTATTTTTGACGTACTTTAAAAAGTACATACTATTTTAACGTACCTTGAGCACACGGTTCCTCCAGTAGTTGGTGCCCTTGGGGTTCTTGACATAGTCCACATCGTAGTAGGCTACGACCAGAGGGTTTCCGAAGTCCTGGATGTTGTCCTTCTGACGCACACCGACCAGACCGTGGCTGTTGGATTACAATATTTTAAGGTCTGTGCTTTTATTGGGCATACGAGGAAAATTTAAAATTCTCTCCAAAGATCATATAGTTTTGCATCTGAAAAGATTGTACGCCTATTCTACCAATCAACCAATTTAATATTAAGTAAATAGATTTTAACTGCAACTAATGAAAATCAGTGAAAACTTTTTTGATTAATTCTATCTATATTCATAAAGTTGAAGCACTTCCGATGATATTGACATAGCAAACATCCAATCTTTGATAGCAACATATGTAGTTTATTGTGTCGTAAAATGTACGTACACTACAGAGCGAGAAGTTAACTTTACGACGGTTTCGCCTGTATGATCCTATGACACGTTTGATTTACATAGTTATTTCGAATTCATTATCGTGTGAAGTGAAAAAAGTACGCCATTCATAAATAGTCTGCATAACATGGCTCTATGCAAAAATAATATTAGATTCAATCAAATATGAAGCTGAATTACCTAGATACAATCACAGGAAATATACCATTTACAGTGTCTCACTACATAATTTCGCGATGGCATATATTGTTATCACATCGCTGCACGATAAACTAGACATTGTTGTCATACTACATATACCTAAAGCAATTTTTATGGAAATAGATATTGCTTTGTATGTTACATTATAGTGGTGACAATGTTATATATTACGACTTCAAAAATTAAAGCAGTGCATCATGTTGTTAATCAATAATAATACGCCTTGTTACTTGATGAATCTGTTTAAAATGTCGTACAGTCGACTGCACATCAGAGTACACATTTTTGTAACAAAAGTGTACCTATTTCAACTACATTAGAATCTACAGTTTTTACTTTTTTTAGCTTGATGTGGCATTACTGTACCTAAAAGAAATGTATGGTAGTGTATAAAAAAGTGGACTTACAAGTGCTCCTTGATGAAGGCCTTGAGGGAGTAGGTCTCGGGCTCACCCTTGTACACGACGAACGAGTCTTCAAACTTGTTCTGGAGGCGTTTCGGCCTGAACAGGACTACATTATCCCTGCAGGCAAAGATAAATACTTATTAGTGACGAATATTCTCGTAGGCATACGCGCAAACGTCAGCTAATCCATGAGCTTGATGACAGCTTGGGGAGCATGTGAATTTGATTCCCAAATCGTAAAGGCGAGACAGACAATTTGAATAATGTATAATGAAATTCAATACATATTCCATATTTTCAGTGTTATTTTATCTTTGTGAGTAGCCAAGTATTAGAAGTTAATTAGTCGTAAAATGTATGTATACATCCTGTAATGCGTAATGGAAACGTATAATATGTGTGAAACTGTAGAAATCGCTAAATAAGCAAGCAGTTTCTATTAATTGGGCGTGCAATTTCAGTTACAAATGATTTTTAAATTTGCAGTCTAAACTAAACCAAAGTGTGTAATATTTGGAGTTATTTATGATTAATAAAGGTTTTCAAGATCTAATTTGCTACAATCACACTTATTTAAAATGTAAAAAGGCCTATTATTTAGCAAGTACATGAGTTTGGCTTGTTGGCATGCACATTAATGTAGCTATTATGCTGGTTATGTCAGGACTTCAAGCTGATAACAACAAATATGCCTAGTTAGTTATTTAAGTGATAATGGTCATAAAAATAAAATATTTACGAAGAATTTTAAGGCCTTACTTTATACCTGTTTGTGTGTGTAAAATATTTGGTTTATAATTGTTGAACATTGACATTTTATTAATAACCTGCAAAACATCTAAAACTTATTATTTCTTAAAGTGTTTGAATACTATTATCAAATATTTTATCTTTTGATTGATAAAGAAAACAATCCAAGAACATTATCACAGCTGATACCTTTTGAGAACTTTTTAAATCACACAAGTTTGTACTATACAAAACTATGAGTTTTCAGTCATAAAAACATACTGAAAAGGCAAAGTATAATTTAAATATTCTGTCCTTAGGTTACATTTTATTACTATTTATTATTACTTAGCAACACATAAATTATTGACTATATTTTTTACAGAGACAAAAGAGTAAAAGTGACTTTGGTAACCAGGCTAATATTTGCCATCATTACTTCACATTAAAAGTGAACATTTTCTTTGTCATTTAAATGATCTTAAGTGGAGAAGCAACTGAACAAATATTTAATGTGTCCCAGTTGTCTGAAGCATAAAAATGAAATTGAACAGTTGTAATTTCAGCTACTTAATAGTTTCATTATTTGAATTAGTTTGGGGTTTAGCAATTACAAATTACTAATCTGCTTATCAGTGAAGTTACTGAAATTTTAATTGGGAATGATGCTAAGTTAGTTTTATCTGTATTTATGAATATTATGCTGCCTTTAAAGTTGATATGAATTAGAAGGTTTATAACATTTCTTTCCAAGAGTAAAACTAAACATTTATTCTGGATTAGAAAGTGAAAGCCAAAGTGCATCTTGAATCTTTCTTCTCTTGAACTAAAAATAGCCTGGAGCTTTATAAATAGAAAGCTGAAATAAACAAAGGCTGCCAAAGATCTGAATTTACAGGAATATGTAAAGTTAATTTATAAATTAATTTGAAAGTCTTACTTGTAGCCACTCTTTTCAAGTACTTCCTTGGCAGTTGAGTGTCCGAAGACAACCTCCTCACGCAGCTTGTCAGCAGTCTTTAGGAACTCTCCCTTGAGGTCGGTCTCCTTCTCAAAGAAGCCAACAACAACAACATCGTCCTTCTTCAGGAATGCTTCATAGTCAGCCACAGAGAGCAGGTCTTTGGAGCTGGGTCCAACCTGGGCTCTCATATACTTCACAATACCACCTAAAGATAAAAAAAAAATTTAGTTCATGGAAATTCTAATTTGAATAATCAGAATGAGGATAATGATTCTAATTTGAGGTAGTAGGAAAAAAATATCAGTTATACTGACTTAAAATGTAACCATTGCAAGCAAAATAAAGTAAAAATGAGTATTGTTGCTTACCTGACTCTCTAGGTCCATTGTATTCTTGCGAAAGCTCTCCTTTCCTGAAGATCTTCAGAGTGGGGTATCCTGACACAGAGAACTGTTCGCACGTGCTCTTGCCGCCTTCCGTGCAGTCCACCTTGGCCAGGGCGACCGGTGTGTCATCGTTCTTGAGGATGCCGGCCGCAACGGCGTATTCCGGCTTCAGTCTTTTACAATGGCCGCACCTATAAACCCAAATCAATTCAACTTAGAGCGCCGCTCGTGACACGTTAACACTTGTACTATAGTCATCCTCAGGAGTCAATGACTTACCATGGTGCGTAAAACATGACTAGGGCAGTATCATGTTGAGATATCACACTAGAAAAGTCTGAATCTGTAAGATCTAACACATCTTCTTCAGCGGCCCTACATAAATAAATTACACCTAAAAGTAAAACTATTTTCAGTGAACCCAACATTTTGTATACGTCCGTCTCTTGACGAAGATGCGGGCGAAATTCCTAGCCGTCGTTCAACTATGCTACGAGAAATGGAAGAAAGGACAAGGACCGGAAAAATACACGTATGATGCCGCAAAATGACATTTGCCGGCACAGCGTTGGCCGTTTCTGATTGGCCCGTCGATGATACGTTCAGAAGTCGTGACACCATAAAAATTTTGATTTATTACATTTTATTTTAATAATAATTAGCATCTATTTTTGCTAATATTTCGTGATAAACGCATGTGACAAGAAAGAAATAGAATCAGTTTTAGAGAAAATAAACAAACTTTTGCAAAAACTACTAGTTGCGAAAAAAATATAGTAGTTATTCTAGTTTTTTTATATGGCAAGTATTAGGGGCTGCCAGTTTTTACTTTTTCCCAAAATTTACGGGTAAACATGTAAAGTTGTGGCGGATATTTTAAATTGCGGTGAATAGATTTTACGGTTAGATGTTTGGACATCTACGTTTTGATAATATTTTACTCAAAAAAAGTTAAGCCGTTTCGCGGAAAAACTTGTATCGAAACATTTTGTCTCCAAATATTATTTGAAGTAGCCCAAAAAATGTATATTATCTTATATTCTTATATAGTTTTATCGAAAAAGTGTATTTTAATTTATATTCAAATGTTTTAAAAATCTCAGCTCAATTAAATAACAATTTTAACAAACTACATACTTTAGGGACTTTGTTAGCTTGTTGTTCGGGTAAAAGTGCCTCAGAGCTGGCAACCCTCAACAAAGCTTTTGTCAGTTGGCTTCGCTGTCAAACAGAAAATGGCAGCGACGAGTGTTGTCGTTCTCGACAGAGGCAACAATACAACTTGTACCGTAAATTTGTTTGGTAAGTGTCTATTCAATTATACTTATTATGTTTATTTACGACGTAGTGTGATTTTCTTTTAATTAACCGTACTGTCAGGCCCTTAGGTTTCCTAGCCGCATAACCTTATAACTTCTTTATTTATTTTCGATGCGACGCGCGGAACTTTAAAAATTCCTGAATAATGATATTTTAGTACATACCTAAGGTGTTGTAAAATATACAATTTTATAATACTCTAAAATGTTTAATAGAAAATGTGTATCCTTTAATTTGTAAGTGAGTATTCAAGTTACAAGTTTTTTCATTGAATAGAATAAGTTGTCGGCAGCGATCATGACCTTGGCTATTGGATTGTAGGAAGTAAACTGTAGATACTTGCTTTTAAATTGTAGGTTGGTATTTGATGTACTCACAAAAAATATTCATAAGACATACATAGCAAAGTATATTAATATCTTGACTAATACATGAGGAAATAGTTTTACTGTTTGATTCTTTCTGTTCTATTCTAGTATATTATTAAACAGTATTTAATTATATTTAAAATATTTTTCAGCATTTAGGAACGTTTCTAATTCTTAAATTTTAATATTTATGATGAACTATTTTGATTCGACTAATAAAAAATAATTACCACACAAGTAGTAAAAAAACAAAATTGCAAGCCCTCATTATTTATTTTATTTTATAGGGGCCACAGTTGTATCATGGCGAGTCAACAATCAAGAACAGTTATTTGTTAGGTAAGTGAATTTTACTTTTACTAATTTATCTAGATTCATAATATTTATGTTTCACTGAGGCAACTATTCTATTTGGTAATAATTGAAAATTCTATTTGGTAATAACTACTCTGAAATCAGTCTATCATAGGTATTCAATATTTAATTATTATCAAGATAAACATCTAATAATAAAACAATTTAGCATGACTGTGCACCTGTTTCAATAAGTGTTTTTAATTTTAGTCTAATTAATAGTTCTTGATGACATCTATTGCCTATTACATAATAACATAGTACTTCAAAATACATTAGTGATTTCCACTCCATGTCTAAGTGTCCATAAAGTATTGAAAGTTACAGATCGAAGTAAAATGTAGTAAATCAATTGCACACATAAGACATTAGTATAATATTAATTCAGTCACATTATTAGGGCCCTATAACTCATACACATATTAATATTAAACTCATTTGAATGATAACATTCTGAATTGTATTTGTGTTATTAATGATCTTCTCTAAACAGCTGCCTTTTAACATAAAATTGTTAGACTATAACTACAACCATCATTATTTTGGCAAAAAAACAATTTATTGCGTCACAATACTCACACTCTTTCGAAAAATTGATACAGGCCGGGAATCGAACGCACTACTCCATAGGTGAGAACACGCGTCTATACTTCAGATACGATAGCCATTATGGCGCTTTTTTTTACCTTGCTGCCCTTTTCAGGGCGTTTGAATAAGTTACATTTCCCAAATAGAGCTTGCCGTCTCTTTTTCGGGAAACGTTAAGCTCGTGATGAGAAGTGGCGCAAATATGACGTCATCTTTGTCACATAATATGCAACTTAAAACTACAACAAGACTTCATATTAAAACGATTTAAGCTTCCTATAACATTTCCAGTCAAAATAATGTGACGTCTGTGATGATACGAAAGAAAATCGTTAGTCTGGTTGACGAAACTATTTCGATAATTTCGGCTCTATCTGAAAAAGCTGAAAAACCAAACTTGATTTTCCAAACTGCCTGAAAATACTACTTATTCCTTCATCACAGTGTTCGACACGCGATCATCGTATTCCGTTCGGTAGGAGATTTCAAATCCCAAGGGCATGGGGCACCACGTTCTGCAGGTTTAATTTTCATAAGACCCATTTTCATTGGTCAAAATTCGCAAAAGCATTCAAATGAAAAGTACCACTGTATCTTCACAGAATCACAGGAGAGTAACCAAAGAGCGCGCACTCAGAGACTGATTGTTGTGAAAAGTCCTGGAGACTTGACCAATAACAGGGAACGTGTTATGGTTGAAACACAGAACTACAATATATGCAAATAAATAATGATTTATGAATAAAAACAATCGGTTCTTTTCCGTACTGTAGAGCACATGCCTCTCACTTCTAGTTTCTTACGTGCGGTGGGTTGAGCCATATCCCACCACGAAAATTAAGCATGAAAAACTGCTGCAATCGGTCTTCATTGTTTTAATTTAATTACTGAATATAAAACATAATTTCGATGTACATTTTCATTCGATAATGACGTTATTTATGTTTTCTAGAACATGTTGAAAGATGTATTCGTTTTTAATTAAGTAGGTGATATTATCTGTGGTAGGTGCTTTAACCAGATGGATTTTGCCGGCGGCTGCGAATCTCACGTGTGGGAGCTGTTTATTATCGAGTAATATTGATGATACATTAATTATAATTAAGTATAATAATTTTGAATGCTTACGACTCTTGAACACGCTTATCTAATTCGAAGTTTACGAGTAACAACACCATTTAACATTTTTACAGAAATAATTATGTACCTAATTATTTAACTATTGTAGATCGTACTTAAATAATAATTGTTTAAGGATTTAATGAAGTGTTTTATAACTCTTTAGATTGGGTAATGTCGCTACGTATGCTTCTAAAACTTTATCAAATTGAGTCCATGAAGTTTTTCACAGAGGAAAACATTGAGCAACCTCAATGGCGGAAATGGGCAAGTTTCTATCAAATTAGTGTTGTAGGTATGTACTATGTATGTAATACATTATGTATAATAACGAATAATCCTATACATATTATACATAATAGTCTTTAAAGAGAGGCCTTTAATATCCGTGTTATAACAACCGTCTCCGCTAATGAATCGTGGCCGATTAGCGTGGATTTGGACGGCTGCGCGGGAAATCCTGCATCTTGCAGTCACTCTGTCTTGCTTAAGATCCTCTTCATTTATTCATCCCCATCAATTTTAAATTCAAGGGATTGTTCCTTAGGAGGTAGCTAGTTCTTATTGAAAATATCGTCTTAACTTATTTTGTAGAGCTTACTAAAGTGGTTTGAAATTAATTTGAAATATACATTAACCTATAGATTTTGATGACTTCTTTGACACTTAACAGCTCTACATTTATTTTGATCTCTTAGGCTGAGGGGCACCATCTTACTTTAGGAGTTTGACAGATTTTTGACGTTTGTTAAAGTTAAAATAAGATGTTGCAACTCAGCCTTACTGTTTGAACCGAAAGAAACATTATCCACCTGTCTTGAGAATATAGGTATTCGTGATTTATTATGCCTTTGAAATCGCAGTTAGCCGCAAGAGTCAAGTTTATCATTACATAAATCGTATACGTGACCTATGTGTCACCTCTACCTTCTCAGACAAATACGCAGATACCCTTTTATCATAAACACCTTTATCTTTAATGAAGACATGAATGGATGAAGGTGATATGTCGCATTTCGGATTTTTCGCTTTTCTATGCTTGGTTACGCTTGTTTCCAACGAGTTGCTAAGAGTAGGCGCACACTGTTGATTTTTCGTCGGCCGATAGTTTAGTCGGACAGTTGATCAGTATGGGCATGTATGGGAGTGCGCACACTAGCCGATTCGATTTGGCCGATTCTTCATACAAATTAAAATCGGGCACAACTATCGGCCAACTAAAAATCAACGGTGTGCTGTGCGCCTACTCTAAAGGTGTACTCTACTCTAAAATGTTTCAAGTTTAGTTAAGTAATTATGTGGTTGATGAAGGTGATTTTTAAAGGTTTTAAACCGTTTTTATGCACTTAACACCTTTATCCAAGCATAGAACAGCTAATATCCCTGAATATGTCTTCAATTGTCTCTTGGTTTACCTACTTTCTTGTAATTCTTACTGTTACATAAGTGATTATTACCGTCACAGTAGATTTAGGTGAATATAGTTCCTTAGATAAGTATTCTGTGGTAATGCTTGCCTAACACAAGTAAGGCATTGGAAATTCATGATCCTAAAATATCGATAAAGCAGACAATGCCATGATCTTCCACATCCGGTAAGTGATTGAATACAATGGCATCGATAGTCTATGCTAGGTGTACCTCCTAACATTGGCATATTAGTTCCATAGAGTTTTTACTATTATTGGCAAACCTAATACCAATAAGAAACAAAATAATCTTACTTCAATACTAATGTCTAGTAACCTGTTTTAAGTGTAGCTATTTTAAATTATTTCCTTCAGATTATACATTGCATTGGAGACCTAAAGGTTATACATGTGTTGTCTTTCTACGTCAATACTTATTTGTGTCGCAAATACTTATTTTTTTACCTATTTCTATCATCTTCATGGAATGTTCATCTATTGTTCACTACAACATTCTACTTACTGTATTAAGTTCCAGTGTAAAAAGTAAAAGCTTTCTATTATATGATCCTGTAACACCATGGAAATTACAAACACATCATCAACGTAAACATAATCTTGGATAATGGAATCACAACGTACGTCTTTAGCTTTGTCGCAATTAATTCGAAATCAATTTAGAGGCACACGTATTGTACGGATGCAATTTGGCGAGGGGACAAAAAACGGTCTCTGCCCGCGAATGGCTCTAACAAACGACCGACTGCTGCTAATGATTCTATGTGCTACACACCTATATCTACTAACTGTACGTAGACTAGCTTATATCTGCAGGTCTGCTCGGTTGGTTCATTTATGTCGTACACAATCATTTTGGCTAGTGTTTCTGTCTTTTAAATTGATATGACAAAAGAAACGGATTGTGCAATATTAGAAGTTACGCGATCTTAGCTACATTAATTAGGATCCTGGATTGTTATGTAAAACTTGTTCGGCGTTACTTTATTTTTAGCACAAAAAGTACCAAACATTTTTGCGGTAGATTTTTAAAACCCATATCTTGATAATCACAGTGCTCATCACCGTGAAACCTTGAGAAGCTAAATCTAATGGAACTCTGGCTATTTCCTTTAATTTGTGAGAGGTGGTAGAGTTAACAACTTTGCAAAATTTTGGAGATGACGGAAATGAGATTTGGTAATTAAAACTTTGAGTCGACATTCATTGCAGACAACTTGTATTGAATTTGTATCTTCTTATTTTGTCTTTCTGTGGACTTTCAAAGCTTACGGTATTGCTTGTCTTCATAGGATTAGTGTCCCATGTCTTTTCATTGGTTTTTCGACGTTATTGGAANTATTGAAATTTGGTTATTGCCATTAATTTTTGGTTTATGTTAAAATAGGTAATTTTTGGTGAGTCAGGAGTCAGAACGTTTGGATTGTAAATTGGGTGCTTTAATTCTCGGTTTTCCCAAAGCATAGTTAGAATACGCTTCTGTCCTTATCTTTCGAGTCCAGTAATCACGGCGAGCGGTAGCGGAATTTTGTAAATTAAATAGCGGTGTCCAGCTAGTGCGGTCCCAGGGTCGGCAAAAAGCCGCCGGCACGCGCCTTCTGTTATAATATCCAATATAGTTTGCGCTCGCGGCTTTTTGCCGCCGCGCCGACGTGACGTGAACGCTTGACCCTTTTATGACAGAGGGATTTTTCGAGGGCCAAAGTTTTGGAGAGAGTTCGTTTATGTTGTTTTACGCTGTGTAATGTTGCAATTGTGAAGGAGGTTTCTAATTTTGTTGGCAGTCGATCAATTGTCTTGCGTGGCTCTACATTTGAATAAATATTTCGTATAGGCTGCTTATTATCTTCG